GCCGCACGCGATTGAGTGTAACCAATGATCGCACACAATCGTGCGATACGTCGCAAAGGATCAACACTAACACCGCTCTTTCTTGCAAGAACTTGAGACTACCAACCACCTCTTGTAAAATATACAATGTCTCACCCAAAACTTCCGTCTCTTTCTCCTCAGACGACAACACCGTACTCAGGCTTGACGCGCTCTGGAACGGTAGTCCAATGTCACTCTGCACTGGCCCAACATCTCTGGCCCGAATCTCTTCCCCCACAAATGCCTCCTCTTCAACCGACTTCTCTCCTTCCACAACACTCGCTCCTTTGTTAACACTTTCTTTTCCTTGTGGAGCGGAACCCCCGAAATTGTCCTCAATTCCCACAAAGTCACTTCCCTTGAGCTCGCTAACCTTCAAGTCATCGAAATGGAGTCCGACAACTCCCGTCTGATCACCTCCAATGTAATCGGCTCCAAAATGGTTAGTGGTGTTATGAAACATATTACTATAACCAAGGCTGATGGAAGCATGGCCGGAGGAGCTGAAAGGGACTGTCATTCCGTTAAGGCACAACTCGTCTGACTCCGGTGAAACCACCCCTATATCTGTGGGTCCGTCCTTTTTCACCCTTCCCACTCTAAGGTTCACGTTGATCAAAGGAGCCAACCACTGCCGATCGTATCCAATAGGGCGTGACACCTCGGTTGAACTTCCAATTCCTGTGGGTACAGGGGTCTTGGACGTAGCACTGGCAATAGACTCATCGGTTTTAGGAGCGAGGTCAGTATCGACTTGGTGTGAAAAGTCGGACCCAAGTGAGTGTGTGGAGACTGAGGGTTTGCACATTGGCGGTTTATCCATCGGGCTGTTGGAGAACGTCTGAGCGATTGCCGCTAGAGGGTTGGAAATGAAGGAACCGGTGGCGCTTCCTGTGGTCTTCTTTTCGGTGATAAGTCCATTTTCAGGAGGGACCGATGGAGCCTTGTGCATCAAAAGTTGCTCTGTCGAGCGCACCCGGTTCTTAACTTGGCGATGGTTCGCAACTGGTGTAGACAGTCCGACGTCCGACGAACCGACGAGAGTTTCCCGCAGCCGGAGTTCTAGAGCATTCAGGTAGCGGGTTACGATGTCCAGGACAAGTCGTCGTCCCGAAAGCGGCCCTTGAGCGTTAGTTGGGGAAATGTTGTTCTCCTTAACCCCCGAATCTCCCTTCGCCACTTCGGCTTGTTCTTCAGCCAGGCTTGCGTTCAGGAGAACATGGTAGTGCTGATGAAAGTTTCGCACCAGACAAACCGGATCCTCTTCTGCCCTAAATGACATGAGGAAATTCTGACCCACCACACACCCAATTGTCTGCAGAGGAAGCCAACGTTTCTGTCCCGTCAATTCGGACCGTCTTGACTTCAACTTGACGCATCCCACAGTGCTGACATACTGGCCTGTGACACACTGGCCTGTGACACACTGGCCTGTGACGCACGCGTCCGTGACTCGCGCATTAGCACACGAAAAGCACCCTACGTGCCACGGTCGAATATGCCTCCTTATATCCACTACCGGTTGGTCAAGCAGGCGTAAGCACGGAGACGGGATCGAGTCATAGTCACCAATCGTGAGTTCCATCCATACGGCGTGCTTGATAACCATTTCTTTCACCTCCTCTAGTCGAACAGATCCGAAACCTTGAATTACTGCAAACAGAACATTTCTCGCTGTTGGTGTGTGTAACTTACTTGAACGACTGCAGGAGACGGGTAACGACCTGGAGATTGAATCTAAAGTATCCAAGCAATTCATAGCATCTCCGCAGTCCTGATGGAGGAGCATCAAAATGGAGATCGGAGTGAGGACAAAAGACCAAAACCGATAACAGGGAATCACAACGGGGTCAGACCATGAACGTTTCAAAATAATGTTGGCTGCATACCTTCACATTTTTAATCTCGAGACGGATCACTGTATTTCGCAAGTCCCGAGCACGTTTGATGTCTTGTAGAACGTTGTATATTTTTCCAGCCTTGGAATAAAGCCTGAAAAGAATTCATTTCACAGGTCTTTCGAGACAGTGTTTGCTACCCAGCTGCTTTGGCGGCGTCTGACAAAGGTTGTAGTCGTTGTGTATTCTTGAAATGTACGAGTAGGAGTTTAAGATTTTGCATTTCTCGTATGAGTTGACGA